AGGGAAAGACGCCTTACCTATTAATAGTTTGGCAAATGAAGCAGGGAGTAACAAACAGAGCCTTGCTGTAATTAAACACGTAGGCAGGCATATGCCTACTTCTGTGTAAATAAACTGTACTTCACAACCTATTTTTAGAAGCTGATTCCTAGTCATTAAGAACCTAATGGAATACATAAGAGTTAATAAAAGTATATAACTGTAAACAATGGTCTTCCCTATCGGTGATTATTTTCCAGAAACTGAAATCTCAGGACCATGTGACACCGCTCTTTATGTCTTCTTTGGCAGTAAGTAGCAAGGATCTGGATGGAGAGGGCCATGGTCACTTCAGAAGGGCCAGGTACAGAGCTCGGGAATACTTCATCTCCCTCTCCTGCTCCATACAGAAGATCAGGTCCCTGAGGCAGATTCTTGTGATTCTTGGACGAAGCAACTGTTTGGTGGCTGTCAGGCTGGATGTCCCAGAAGCAAAAAGGTTGTCTTTTAAACCCTATACAAAGTAAAGGGAGAAGCAAGTTTAAAATAAGCAATCTTTCATAAAGAGAGAACCTGTCAATTCAGCAAGAGCCTGCTAGCCTCTGGCCCCTGGGGTAGGTGCTGGAGGTAATAGCGTGATGCAGCTTGTCCTCCAGCAGCCCAGGCTCTTGGGGCAGGCCCATGGCCAGCACACCTAGTTCATGGCCTCAGTCACTCTCTCTCACCTGGACCATGGCCACAGCCTTTTAACTGACTTCTCCACTTCAATCCGTTCTTTGCTGCACATCACAGGGCAGACTGTCCTCTTTAAAGGTCTTAGACAAAAGTTTCGGGAGTGATGGCTGTGGTCATAATTCTGATTGTGGCGATGATTTCACAGGTGTGTATATATGTAAGAACCTGTCAGATTACACACTTTAAATGTGTGTGGTCTTTTGTTTGTCAATTATAAAAGTAAAAGTGAAAGCCTCACATGGTTCAGATCCCACCACTCCATGGTTCAAAAACCTTCAATGGTTCCTCTCTGTCCAGAGTAGCTACTTGAGTACTTATTATACTTTGAGAGCTATGTTAAGCATCTTCCACACATGATCTTTCTTTCATACAACACTGCAGCACGTTACATGGGTGCTGTCCTCATTTATCAAGTGAGGAAACTGAGCTTAGACAGGTTAAAGCAACCTGTTTAAGGTCACACAGCAACACTGAGCTGGGACTCAACTTTTAATTTGATCCAAAGTGAATGCTCGCCGCGTAGCACAGGGAGATCAGCTCGGTGCTTTGTGTCCACATAGAGGGGTGGGATAGAGAGGGTGGGAGGGAGACACAAGAGGGAGGAGATATGGGGATGTATGTATATGTATAGCTGATTCACTTTGTTATCCAGCAGAAACTAACACACCATTGTAAAGCAATTATACTCCAATAAAGATGTTAAAAAAAATAATAAAGTGAATGCTCTTAGCCTGTTCTATATTATACATCATATCAGGTACAAACTCATTACCTGGCTTCCCTTCAGCCTTACTTCCCATTGCAGAGATCAGCAAAAGGCCATTCCAGGCCAACCTACTCAACCTTTAAGACCCATTTCAAATAGGTCTACTTACCCTCCCCTTCCCCGTAAGAATTCTTACTGTGGTAATTATCTTACATCGTATTATAGTAATTTGTATACGCTACCACCACCAGCACATACCCACTAGATTGTAAGCTTTCTGAGAACAGGGACTACCATTTCTATACCTTATATGGCTTAGCAAAGTATACAGAACAACACAGATTATCAGCAATAATTTCTCAATTGAATACACCAGTTTAAAACAACAACTAATACGAGTTCTAAATGTCATTCAAAATTGAATGAAACCCAATACTTCTATACTAAGATATTAAGTTTCCTAAGTATCAATATGTCTATACACCACTATTTAAAAAAAAGATTTGGAAGAAGAAATAAAAATACAGAATACTCAGATACAGAATAATCTGGCAAAAATGAATCCTTTATTCTTCTATTCTTTTTTTTTTTTTTAACCATATTTTGTTTCAAAAACATCTCAATTGACTTGGCAACCCTCCTTTCCTTACCCAAAAGACTTACACAAGGAAAGATATCTACCTAACACAGGAAGCGAATCTTCTGGTTCTATTACTATCTTTTCATAACCTTCAAATTTTAATTACTCCCTCTACATTTCTGGTTTTTTCTTTTTTTCTTTTTTTGCTTTGTTTTAGTTTGATGGAGGGTAAGGAAATCCCCTTTAAGGTATCCAAAACCCTATGGTCAAAACAAGTGAACTTAATTCCATACATGTTCACAGAATGACTGGGAGTTCTTACATTCAACTTTACCTCACAGTTGAATAAAATTTCCTTCAAAGATACTACTCACTTTTGAAGGGATATGATATCACAATCCCACTTCTATACTCATTAAGTCAGACTTATTCAAAAGCATCCATGAAGCAAATTTTGGAAAGTCCACGTTTAAAAAAAAAAGACAAAAAGCCTAACTTAGAGGTGGTGTAACACAGATATAATCTTAACTCTTGTAAATTATCACCATCAAAATATTCTCATAAGATTTTTACAGAATGGGCCCACCAACTCAGCTTTGGAACACTGGATAAAAGGACAAATTAGGAAGAAAGTTAATGTCCCAGGCACTGAGCAGCAATTTTGCTGTATATAGGAGTTATCTATTTAAAACTACAGTATATTTAACTAGAAGCATTTTTCTTAGCCAAAAATTAGATATATTATGCTAAAGCTGAATCTACATATGTTTATAGATCTTTCCTACCAAGTTTGCCAAAAATCACTCGTTTAGTGTTTTACATGAATATTTAAATTAAATGGCTAGTTGGACATACTATATCTTGGCAATTTAATTTCTACGTAAATATCCAGAAATATGTCATGTCTTTTGATAAAAAGACATGTATGAGAATGTTTAGCACTACTATTCATAATGGCCCTAAGCTAGAAACGATCCAGACGCCCATTAAGAGCAGAATAAACTGTGGACTATTCATACAAATGGAATACTACACAGCAGTAACAAACTGAGTAACATGGACAAATGTCACAAAATGTTAAATGAAAGGATCCAGATGCAAAGGAATACATATGGTTTGATTCCATTTCTATAAAGTTTAAAACAGGCAAAGCTATAGAAGTCAGAATGATGATTCCCCTTAAGGGAGAAGAGTGGTAACCAGAAGGGGATAGTAGAGGCTTTCTGGGATTCTGGTGATGTTCTCTTTCTTGACCTAAGTACTGTCTGCATAGGTGTGTTCTGCTGTGAAAATTCGGTGAGCTTACTCATGATTTGTGTACTTTTCTGCATTGATGTCCTACTTCAATAAAAAAAATTAAACTGCTACCAAAAAAGTCTTGTGTAGGTAGGAAATACAAAGGGAAATGCAGAGGGAAAAGAGGAAAGAAGATAAGGCAAAATGGTTAAATAGAAAAAAATTATGGAGAACGAACCATCTGGGTAAGGAACAAAGGGGTCACAGTTCATGTCTGTCATGTGACAAGCCTGAAGGATCCCAGGGCAAGAGCCACATCACAGCTGCCAGCACAGGGTTGAAAAGGAGGTCACTCCAACAGGATGCAGCAGAAGGCCTGAGGCAATGTTATAAATGAAACAAACCCCAAGGGACACTGAGTAACCCCACAGAAATGTCTTTTATAATTCACAACTTTACGAAGGTGACAGCATTCTCTTCCCCCAAATAGCGACTGGCTTGGAAAGTTAATCTTTGTTGAACTTAGATACAAATATATAGCATTTTTATTCCTATGCTTATGATTTGAAAAAATCCACAATCTGACTTTTCAGCTTCATACTGACCTGACCAGAATAATCAGCTACATCTCAATTATCCACGGTAAAGTGGGTGGAACTCAGAGCCATAAAAATTCGAACCTGCCTTCACCATCAGTTTTTATTTTCTTCCTCACCAAGTCCTTTGCCCAAAGTCACCTAGGGCTGATTTCTGGTTACACTATACTGTCAGTGCCAAAGAACACAAATGTAGTTAGGAGACCATTTGTAAGAAGAAAAAAAAAAACCTGTTGGGACAATGTACTATTTGTTTCTGAAACAGAGGATTTTCCCAATCGACTTTCTACGTGAAGATATTCCTTAATCTGAATTCTTCACTTAGATGAATAGAGGGTAAAATAGAAGATGGAATTCAGTGAAGATGAAAGAAATAATTCACTTACTAAGTGCACAACAGATGTTTTTGGAAGCGTAACCGAACCTAAATGTAAACATTCTTCAACACTGTCAGGTCAATTAAGTTAGCCCTCAATTTGTTCAATTATATCACTAAACAAAGTTTCATATTTTTATAATGAAACTTCTGAGAAACCCTTTTGCTCTAATAAGGAAAACTTGAACACTGTCAGTTACCAATTTCAGAGCACTGACACCATTTTAAGAATGACACTAAGTAATTAAAAATAACCAATTATTCACATTTCCCCCCAACTTAATAGAGCAGGTGCTGTGAGGTAAAACTTTTAAAAGCGTCTCTACTTCTTTTTCCATGTTTCCTTAAATTATGTTACTGCTATACTAACTAGTTCATGCTAGCCCATGTACTGATTCAATTCAAAAGTTATCTGGGTCACTGGGTGCCTACTATGGGCAAAGGAACTGTTCTGGTAGCATAAGATATACAGGGGGACTGAATGGTGGTGAATACACATTGTCTCCTCCATAAGGAAACTCAGACAGATTACCTAACTTCTCTGTGCCTCAGTTTCCTAATCTGCAAAACAGGGACAGTAACTGTAATTATCTCACAGGGTTGGCCTGAGGATTAAATGAGAACAATGCCTGGCATACAGTATACAGTCTATAAATGTCATTTGTCAGTTGGGAGGCATTGAAGGTTTATAAACAGGAAACAGTATAATCCTAGTTCCAGATCTTTTTATCCATCCCCTAGTTTAAATCTAATTAAAAGTTCCTGTCCATGCCCTAGTCTCATAAGTCCTGGCTAATTTAAATAATTTGTCCTGCCACACTAACCTTGTCCCTCCTAGAGAAATTTTTAAATTTTAGTTGAGCTTTGAATGCTTAAAGCTAAAAAGTAAACTAATGGGCATTACAGACATATGGCAAATGGATGAGGGATGTATCCTGGGACAGGAAGGTTTTCACAAGCTCCTCAGATCCAACAGTGGAGGACCAACCACACTCATCAGTACTGTCTGCAGGAGCTAATGTCAATTCCTTCCATTCTAGTCCCTGAATCATAAGACCAAGAAAACACAAACGTGTCCCTGAATCTTAACAGTCGACCAGGAACAAGAGTTGGGCACTTTAACCTCTAAAAGGCAGACTCTCTACTTGATTTATTCTAACCCCATGTCACCATGGCAGCTCTTAAGGGATGACTCAAGTCTCAAACTTTGAGGAAAAAGAAGAACTAGACATAGGGCACAGGGGGTGGAAAGAAAATCTGGCTCCAGAACAAAAATCAAACATCT